TGGCGACATGATATATATATATATATTTATGTATGTGTTCTAGTTATATAGTTAAAAAAATGTATATATATATATAGATAGATGGATGGATGGATAGATGGATGGATGGATGGATGGACAGATAGATAGATAGATAGATATTTTCGAGATGTGTGTGAGATTTTATGCCCTTGTGATGCCCTTGTGACCTCGTGGTTCAGGTTTGGGGGGGTATCTTGTGTTTCGAATCTATGGGAGGGAAGCCTGGTACGTTCTAGATTGTTTTCAAACATCCAATCCTTAAGGCACAGCCAATGAGTTGGTGCCTTGACATTTGTCAAGATATTTGTTAAGTGTATGTCGTGGGTCATGGGTCATGTCTGTAGTGTTTGTAGTGCACATGTCGGATCCGATGACTCGATGTTGACAGCTCCAGGCAACTACGAGGCCAGCTTGGCCTTTGATGGCCTCACGAGCACTTGCTGGTGGAGCAGCTCGACAGATCCTGGGAGCTGGATTGGTTTGCACGTGAAGACCGCCGCCCCTCGGCGTTCGAAAGAAGGAGTCGTGGAAGAGGATGTGGATGGTGGTGAACGTGCAACAGACTCTCATGCAACTGTATCTCAAAATGCCTAGCAGGGGGTCTGGATGGATGGTCGCCCTCCGTTCAGCAAACACATGAAAATAGAAAAGCCAAAGGCAATACATGCTACAGCGAATGCCAATGCTACCAGCTGGAAGGACGTACTTGTGAAGAATGGAGAGCTTTGCGCTTTCACACCAGTGCTGTACCTAGTAGATTGTTTGAAGCCTTGCCTGAGGCCCTGTATGCGCGATCTGTGCGGCTGGTGGGCTTGAGTGGAAAGGTTAACCCTGACACAATCTACGTACAATTCTACAAGGAAGGCGCGCATATTCCTTTTCACCCGGAAGGGAGTGTGATCTCGGAATCGATCCGAATAGACAAGGTTCCAAGTGTTCTTGAGTTCAATTCTGTTTGATAGCATTCTCAGAAACATACATGAGACAGCGGGGGGCAGCATTGATTGGGTAAAGGTTAGCACCACATGTCCAATGTGACGTGTGTGCTGCATACGTTGAGCGCCAGGCCTGTGGTACACACTGCAGAGCTTCACGTACACGGAGGCCTGTGTTGAACTGACCTCGGACTTCTCCACGATCTTCGGAAATGAATTCGACACGGTGGCCCCGACCATTCTCAGTCGCTTCGCTGAAGAAGTAAGGCCTCAAAAGGGCCAGATGCCATCGGCTGGAGCTTTTAGTCAACAGTGTTGAATGCTATCAAAAGCTGGCACTTGTTGCACTATTGAAGATGTTTGCTTGAACTCCCATTTGCACACTGGTGCGTAGGTGTGCATGAAATCATCATTAAAAAACCGATGCTAATGGTGCTATGATTGAGAGTCAACATAGCCTGCATTATGGACTTTGTAGGCATCTTCCAAAGAGGTTCGCAAACTAGAGAGCGAGAGGGATATTGAGCCAAGGCAGCATTCCTGATCTATCTACATCCCTGACAGTTAGTGACACGCAGCGTTTGGCCCTCTACTTTTCTGAGCCCATCGTGATCATGTCTGGAAGTGAAGTCAAACTGGTGGAGCAGCTTTTGCACAGTCTATTTTCCTTTGTCGAACCAGCAAAGCATTCCTTTTTAAAGCATTTTTGAGAGGGTTCTCTCCCTCACTTGTAGACACCATCCAGTTTCACAATTGAGGTGGATGCTGGGGCTGATGGTCTCTGCAGCACCTCTGATGATGTGATCCTCTCCATTCCGGCAGACCTGCCCACCGCATATGTGCGGAACGGGACTGACCCATGGGTCTACGTCACTGGCAATATGATTCTAGTGAGGTATCCCTACCAAAACATGGAGGCAGGAAACTATCATTGCCTGCAGGCAGGGTCCGACAAGCTGTTTTCTTCTTGTTCTTACTTCTAAAGCAAAAAGCAGAAGAAACTGCAACCACACATATGTTTTATACTATCAATCAGAAAACAATTGAGCCTGAGCCTCACACAGTTTCAAGCGACTGCCAGGTGGATCCTGCTGTCATCCAAGACTTAGCTGGCACACCCTTTCCAGGGCTCTTGGAGAATGACTTTCGCTCCTTAGATGTGAATGAGGGTGTTTCTTTCAATGAATGAGAGCCTCCGGCAAACGGAAGTCAACTAGACCAGAAGCCATTTGTTGAGGCTTAAACCTCTATAGTAGTACCCCAACAAGGCATGCTGGACCAAAAGACGCAAGCCAAGCAAGGTTTTCTCGTGGCTGCTACGCCCTTCTTGGATGAGACAGCGCCGGTGTTCGTGGCCACGGATCCGCCCACGGGTTCCACCATGGAGGGGCTGCAGCTGATTACATTCAAGATCTTCATGAGTGACTGGAACAAAAATGAAAGAACGGATCTTCAAGGTTCTCTTTCAGATCTTCATTTCAAGATTCTGTCAGAATCATTGAGATTCTCTTTCAGAATCTTCATGGCAGTCTTGAGAATGTTGAAGAAAAGGACACACATGGATAAGTACTCCACAAAAGGATACACATGGATACGTATGCAGCAAGTAGAGGCCTAGGCTCAACCTGCTGCTGGATACACCCATGCCCTGTAGGGGATCCACTTCCCCAACTAAAAGGGTCACAACTGCTGAAATCCATCTATATTGATTAAGCACTGCCTTGAGGTGTTTAGGATTGGACTTTGTTGCTTCAAGGATAGAATTAGGGTGAGCATCAAGAGTGGATACTCTAGGAGGTCTGCCCCAACTTCCAGCTGTAGAACACATGGCGGTGAGCACTGAGACTCTTGGAAAAGGACATATGCGAAAGAGAAGGATTCGATGGTTGGTCATGTCATGCCTTGCAATCAAAAAAAGACTGTCCATGGACAAAATTTGAATTTAAGTGAATATCTTGAAGCATTTTGCTATTTACTGTAGCAGGGAATGGGGAATGGATTCCCAAAATCAACTTCCGGTGTAGCCCGCCAGGTAGAACCATGCTCTTTCCTGATCCAAATCAATTTTTCAGACGACTAGGCCAGACATGCCATGTTTTTTCGATTTGATCAACGGCTAAGGTGAAGCCATTGCTCCCTGCGACGAAACCTTGATGGTGCAGACGGCGCAGACACCTGGAGCTCATGAACCTTGGGCTTTGAGGCACGGAACATTCAGATCTCAGTGCATATCCCCCTCTTAAAAGCTCAAGCATAGGGAGTTTGATAGTGACAACCGAGAGTTGCCCTCGATTGAACCGATTTGAATGCGCCCTGTCACTACAAAAACGCTGGGGGGCGGGAAGAGCAAAACGCTCTTCCATCCACATATTTCAAAGGGTGACCAACTCAGTAATCCAAAACAGCTCAAAGGCGCTTGGTTTGAGGCTGGCAGACGAAAACAAGCAATCTGCCCAAATCACAGTGGTTTTGGGTAAAGGTGGATGAAACAGATTGCTCTCAAAGGCAGGCATTGGCTCACAGAAGACAAATTCCTTTTTGCTCTATCAATGGTTTAAGCCCTTAATAGGACAAAGTACGAACATCTAGCAGGTATAGAAGTTGGCGCAGGAGGTCTTTCTGGCACCTGGTAAATGGTATGAACTGCCTTTCCAGCCACACGAGGAACTTTACTTGGTATCGCTCTTGGCCAATGGCACTGAAGACCCATCAGGAGATCGATTGACAATCAGCTTCACCCCCGACCCAAGCGTGTTGACACCACATACCTTCAGCATCAGTGATTCAGCTACTGAAGTTGCAAGAAGCAAGGTTTTCTTTTCCTTCTTTAATGCTTCCTACCCATGCAGGGCTTGATTTGCTGGCCGAGTTGATCTTTCATCCCGTCAGTTGGTCCAAAGAGGTCGACATGTGACCGATCTGCCGTACCGGTTTTGTCGGCGGACTATGGATATCCCTTGCCATGTTTTATTGCAAGGTTCGTTCAAGCTGGCTTAGGTCATCACTGTGAGCCTGAATCGAAGCTTGCTGATTGGACATTCCTACTCGTTGCAGATCCCAGAAAATTCCCTGGCGCCTCGGCAGTAAGCGCGTGTGGAGCTTCTTTTCTACTCCCCTTGTACATAGAACATTCATCTCAACATGGAAAACTGCCAAGAGTTCAAGAGTTCCCAAAGTTAGCAAGTCGCCCTTGTTTCGTATCTTCTGTTGGCAGTTCTTTTCCAAATACATTAGCATGAACATCCCATACTGCATGGGTATCCTAAGACCAATTTCTTCACCACTGGAAGCTGTACTTGAAACATCCTAAAAGCATCCCTCACCCTGGGCTTTCCTGAAAACCGGTTCAGACCGTTCAGGTGGACCTTTCGACCACCACGGTCTTCGACATCACCGGCGCCCCGGTGCAGATCCCCCGGAACTTCGCAGGGCTCCCACTGGGCGAAGTGATCTTCCATGTGGTGGAACCGGTGCTGGCGCCCTGGACAGCTCGGGTGGATGGGATCAGATGGGATCAGATGGGATCAGGTCAGAGAGGGCTGGTTCGGCTTATGGTTCTGGAGGAAACAAGCTGAGAAGGACTGGCAGTGGGAAAGCCACCGTCGCTCTGAGTATGGGTTCTCTAAACTACTCTTTTTTAAACTTGCAATAATTTGTAATATGTATAAACTTGCATTATTTGTAATATATATATATATACATACATATATAGTGTCACAATTGTTCTTGTTTGTCTTTGTTATCACCAACCATTTTTGGTGTGGGTGAACTATTTTTTGTCTTGCGCTGCTAAGGCAGGCGTGCCAATCCAAAACTTAGCCTTCCAACGCTTCAAAGTAGATTCAGTAATAATAGGCGCAGTTTGGGTGTCCTAATGGTACCAATTAATCCACATCTCTTGAGATACCGAGATACCTGCAGAAACCCAGTTTGATTGGCCCTAAAAGTCATGATGAGACATTCCGACACTCCCCTGCCCCTGTCATCAAAGCTGTTCTCTGAGGAACGAAATCCCTACAAGAAATCAACAATCCCCATCTGGGCCGAAGCTGAAGTTGAGATGCAGCGCCCCGATGAAGAGCCGTTGATCCCCTTCGTGGTGGATCGCTGCTACATTGAGCCCAACTGCTCGAATGACAGCAATGGCACCGTGGACTGCGGGAATGGCACCAACGCTACGATACTAGGCTGGTCTGGTGGTCATGCTGGAAGATTTGAAGATACCCTATCGATGGCCTCCTTTTCATCCATCGATCCAGTCCTCTCAAGGCCTCCAGGAAACTTGTATATCTTTCTGCAGGGATCTTCGCAATTTGAGTGTGCAGCGAGCCAGCTATGATCGTTCGTTGGTGCCTCTGCAATTTATATTGTTGAGTACCTCCAACCGGAATTTTCGCTCCTTTTTGGTCAGTTCCCAGTCGCACTGTTGAAGGTGTCTGTGGGATGATGCCACAGAGTGGCGATGGCTATTTGGCCGTGCGGGAGAAGGCACTGTGGCTGGAGCCCTACCATTGGCGCCTCAGCGATGGGTGGCCGGACATGGGCGATGCGGGTCGCGAGTGGTGATTGAAAGCTGCGATTACACCATGGTAGGTACTGACAATGGTTGGTGTTTGGGCGTTGAAGAAAGAGCAGAAAGCAAAACAAGAGAACAAGAGTAGATGAACAGTTATTTTTCAAGATCAGTTTTTTTCATGCTGAGTCTCAGTGGGTCGCAGCTGTTGCAAAGTTTGTTCTACCCATACTAACTCCGAGCATGATCCCACATCCGATAACTCAAATCTGGAATCTGCAACGATGACGACCTGGTGGGCAGGGCCCATTGAGGGTTAGGGCCGTCAATCCTGCTTAAACCATCAATTTCCATACTTATGATCATGTCGGTTTTGAAAGTTGTACTTGCTCCTTTCGGCCCCCCTTGTGAGAGCCATTTGTGGCCATATGAAAGAAGGTTTTCTCCAGGAGAAAGCACCTCCCTTGAGTTTCAACAAAAGCGTGATTGCGGGAATACCAAAAGTTCAAGTTTGTGTCGGGACATCGTTGGGATGAGCAAACTCTTGTGGACATCGGGCATTCCGTGCCTTTCTCTTGCACAGCTTTTGCAGCTTTTGTTCACCAAGGCTGGGTGTGACCACGGGGAATGGAACATCTTTCCGTGTGCAGCTGGACGTGTCTTCCGTGAACTCGCCTCCGCTCATCAAAGCTCGATCGCTAGCACCCAGATGATGTGTTATTGGCGACTGGCGGGGCCGGGCTCTAGCCAACTCTCTGGAGTGGGCGGAAATCGTTGAATATTGAAAGCAACTTTGATGGATGGTCATGATCGGAGCTTCAAACCACACAGTCTTGCTGCTACTCCTCGAATTGACCCACAGCAAACAACCACAATGCATGTTTCCACCCCAACCAACCCATTTTGGAACCTGCAGGTGGGGTGCTCACAGGTGTCGTCCTTGGCGATGTTCCATCCCTCAGGCGTTGAAGGTCGATGCGGGTCTGATGACTCTCCTGGCGGCTGATGATGGCGGAGCTCCCCTGACCTTGGAGGAGCGTTTTGGGGCCAGCTCCGAGAGAGGCGGCAAGAGCCCTCTCCTTTTAGGGAACTTCAGCTTCCCTAAATATCTAGGAACCAAATGAATAGAAGCGTGAGCTATCCTGCGTCCATATGTAGAAGCTACTTAAGCTACTAGCTACCTCAGTTCCCTAATTTAATTATATAAATAGCTAGTCTCCACTTGATTATGTAGGGAGGGTGGGTAAGAGCGAGCGAACAAAAAACATATAAAAAAGGACTTCAGAGAACTTCCTGTTGGGGAGTTGGGGCCATGGGTGTGATATGCGATGGTTTGGGCAGCAGGGTGGTGATTGGACCATATGTGTGGCATTTGTGTGTCCAAAGCGTCGCTAGGCCTGTCCAATCTGGCCAAAGCTTTGGTGATGCAGACCAAATTGTTAAAGCCGCATCAACCATGTAAACCACGATATGACAGGTATGTAGGTTGGTAGTGCTTCTATGAGACTCTTCTTGCCCCATGGTGGCACCTTGAACTTGGAGGACGATGATGTCGGGGAACTGTATGTGGAGGTGATCCTCGAACCTCAAGGAGCGCTAAGCATACTTCCTTCAGCTTGGCGGGAGACTTTGGATTAGCCCATCAGATAATTTTTTGTGTTTCACCTTCTTGTTCGAGCGACTTTTGGTGTTTCACCGTGCCTCAAGTGATGTGCAAGTGAACCTAGACTAGACCGCTAGACCACATGTCGCCGGGCGCAATTCAAACAGCTCAATAGCCTCCACTGGTCACTGACATCTTAGAGACTTCAATGAGTTTTGAAGATCTAAGGACTGGACTGGGCGTGTGAACGTCACCTTCGACTTCCCGCGCGTTCAACCGGACTACGGCTCGTTGGGCCAAGGGGATTGGTCTCCCACCACGGTGGAGGGAAAGCCTGCAGGCAAGCTGTCATTTCATGGTGCCTTGGTGAAGATGTCCGGCCGCGAAGGCTCCTCGTAAAGTAAAAGCGCATCTTTCGTCATCGGTGTTGGGTGAACAAATGCTGTTTGCACTCGGTGACGCAAATCAAGAGGCAAGAGGGAAGCTGCCCACACAAAGCGCTAAGATGAGCCATGTGGACAATCTTGTGTGCATGCATACTGATTGAAGTGTGAAGTTTTGATTGCTTGCCTATCAACTGGGCAGATCAAGCTTTCAATCATATTTCAACCTCATCATCCAAACCATAGAGGCCAGGCCTCACAAAACCGCAGGCTACCGTCCGGCCAAGGTGGTCTGCTCTCAGTGCAAGCAGCTTTGGCCAACCTCACCTACACAGCCCCTGGTGATTTTGAAGGCTATGGGCTCATGAAGGCCTGGTAGTTTGGATTAAACACAGTTTCTCCCTCTTTCAGCTGGAGGGTGCATAGGTCATAGGTGCAAAGGTTTGGAGATTGGCACCCAGATGGTGGGAGGGCTGAGGTAAGAGGTTCAATCAGCTGAGTTCGTTCGCAAGATGTGAATCCCTAGGTGGTGGTGCGAGATGGGGTCTACATGCGGGAGGACATTGGAGAGTCGGGCGACCTGCGTTCATGTTCCTAATGGTAGATGGGACAGATGTAAAGAAAGAAAACGATGCTAAACAAAAGCCTTTAAAGATTGTAAGAACCCGATGAACAACAAAAGTGCTAAAGAGCTGTCTTCGACTGCCCAAACACTAGCGAAGCCACATTTGGTTGACACATGCAGACCGATTCCTGACATGCCGGAGGAATTGATATTGCTGGTAGCGACTCCTCCGCACTGCTGGTGATGCTTGCTGTAGGCTTCGCAACAGAAGTGAGTGAATTTGAATTCTTGGCTAGTGACGTCCACAACAAAAGGCCGTGCTCCATCGCAACTAACTTCAAGAGCCCTAGCGGCCCTAGCTTCTAGCTTGCCTTCTGGTTCTTGCTGTGTTCCGCAGACCAAGGTGCGTTTGCCCAGCAGTGGTCTCCAAGTGCTCACCAGCGGCTATGGCACAAGTGCATTGGCCTTCGAGGAGCATGATTTGGACACCATGGGATGTGATTGGAGTGTGCAAGATGGTGACGGAGCCTTGACAGGTCGAGAACTCAGTGTCGGGCATCTACAGTCTAGACACTTCCCAGCTGATTGTGGCTTCGCCTGTACCGTGCAACGTGTTCGGGCTCTTTTGCCGGGTATCAATACCTTCTTACTTTTGGGTGGTTATTCAATGTATTCAACAAGTAGCTCAGTTGGACGGAACGTCTTACGATTCCTGAGAGAGTGTGCAACAGTGGTATCCTGAGCAAGATCTCTACAGCATGGGGACTGTCAAGACAACAGTCAATTGTATTTCAATCCAAACGACCAAGAGGCTTTGAAGCAAGAAACACACCCGATTTCCCAGGTCAGGCCACATACCACTTGTCGATCTATGTGAAGGACCGAGTTGCTACATGGCGAGGTTTCCTTCAAGCTCCCAGAGTGATGATCTGTAGGCAACATCCATGTTCGTTGATGTTTCGTGAGGCGAAAAGGACGTTTCTCCAAGACATCGAGTGACGGGTGGAAATGTATGGAATATCAGCAAAGACGAGAAGAGCCTTGAAGCTGTCGATGTCTTCTGGACCAAGAATTGACCTGACACCCTGACATGAGTGCTGCTGGTTTGGTTCTCCTGCATCCTTCATTCCAAAAGACATGAACCCCCAATCGTGAGGGAATTGCAGTCTGACCCCTAAAAGAAACGCCTCCTAGAGAAGATCGCTCTAGATTTTGGCTTCAGATCCGCAGTTCTGTGTTTTCTCTTTTGGTGCTCTTTATCTCCTCTCTTGGAGGATCCCTTGGCTTGCTCCTTCATTGACTTCGAGGATTGCACCTCCCGAGCCTCGGGCAGTGGCCAATGCATGGATTCTGCAGAGCTCTCTGCCTCGAAGGTGGAGAGTTCCGTGTCGACGAAGAGGGGCTATCGAGTGCTGCATCTCTATTCCCCGAGTCTCGAGGCGCGGTGTGTTTTTTCCTCACGGATTTTTTCTTTCCGGAATCATCTTAGCATTCGTGTTTCACATTTTGTTGAGGATTAGACGAAGCATGGATTTGTGTATGTGTTGGGATCTGTGAAAGCTTGAAAGCCAAGCAGAGCTTTGTCAATGTGTCTTTCCGCTATAGAGTCTTCTCAGTGAAGCCTTGTTTGGCTTTTGGTGCTAGCCAGGTGGCTCGGGCCTTTCTAGAGAAATGTTCAGAAGGGAGGCCTGAAAGACGGCATCACAGAACTCCAATTTTCTCCTGATAGCCTTGGTTTTACAAAGATAGCCTTGGTTTTTCCACAAGATTTTAAGGAAGTTGACCCGTTTGGACGCGGGACACCCCCCATCTTCAGCGTTTGCTGTGCATCACCATCGCTTCGCGTCAGACCACACGCCCGGCCTGAGAGGTGCTTCAGCACCACCTCAACAAGTCAATGGTCTTTCATGCCTGTAATTGCTCAGCCATGGAGCCTAGGCTACAGATTCGCTGAAGAATGACGGCATAAAACCATAAAACTGTGTACTTTAACCGTGGGATTCATGATGCATCATGCCGGGTGTCTTCGTGGCTAGAAGAGTAAGCATAATAAGCTGTTCACAGGTCAGTGGACTTTGGGGTGCACTGACTTCGTTCCTTGAGTTCTGAGAGGGGTCAGCACGAGATTCCAGAACTGCTACTGACAACATCATTGCCATGGAGTATCAAAGTTGGGGTCCTCCCAAATGCATTGAGACAACGGAGACAACGGTTCATCCTTTGTTTTGGTAGCTTGAAGCAAGACCTGCTTGGCTCTGGATGGTCAAGCTTCCCTAAAAATCTAGGAACCAAATCATTAGCGCGAGCTATCCTGCATCCTAAGTAGTAGCTATTTAAGCTACCAGCTACCTCTAGTGACCTCACCACCTACCCCCCCCTAAAGCAAAGAAAAAGGAGATTGCTCTCGCTCCTTCACTGGAGGAACGCTTCGAGTGCAAGCAAACCATGTTCCTAGCGGTGGACCGGATGAGTCGGGAAGATCTCTCAGTGCAAGACATGGCCGAAAACACCTGCGAGGCACGTGGCCGTTTTTTGAGTTTTCCATCATCCTCAAAGTCCAAAGGATTGAGAGTCTCCGAGAGCGTGGAGTATGAGAAGAACCACCCCTGGCAAGGTCACGGTGGTATCGCCTCTCTCGATCTTCGTTGCCTTGCGGGGACCGCCGCTGAAGCTGCCAGCCCGAGAAGCCTGAACCCAGTCTGGCGGGTTCAGGGGTCTAGTTCAAGGTCGTTTGTTTGCTGTGCTTGTTTTCCTTTCCCATATGCCCACAAATATGAATGATGTCCCGAAGCCTAAGCGACAGCGTAGAAACTTGATGGCTATTCTACTTTGTAAGAGACCTCCAGGAATCTGAAAGGAAACGGGTCTGAAATGGGCCCAACTTGCCCAATCACCATGAAAAAAAGACAGCTCTGCAAGAAGGATTTGGGACTAGTAACGATTTGTTATTTTTACAACATATATGACCATGAGCCTTCCACTTTGAGGTTGGATGAGGATGGCACCTTGGAGCTGGCTGAGCGACTCTACTTTGAGGGCAATGCTCCAGGCCAGGTGCTCAACGAACATCGAAAACTGGCAGAACACCACTGGAGACTGTGCTTGGTGTGGGTGAGTTGTGGCTGAGTTTTCCAAAGCTATGATGGTCTCCTATTGTGTTTCCTGAAATCAACCACCCCTTATTGGTCCAGAGGCAAATGCTTTGGGCACCTTTAATGCCCACCAAAACCTGTCCTCCTTGAAAACTGGTGCGACTAATGGGCCATCCAAGCAATGGCCAGAACTGCTTGGATTGCATTTGCTCTAGTTTTACAAGGCAACCCTAGCCTAACACTGGATCAGACACGGCGTCTGCTATGCATACTTATGACACATCGCATATATTGCATCATGATCCCTGATCAATATTGCATCCTGTATGTTGCGCCCGTCTCAAAAACGCATCCTGCTTCCGCTTGGAGTCCATCACGAAAAACTTATCCCGCGATTCCTTGTCTCTTGTTCTTACGATACCTAGAAGCGATGGCCTCCAACCTACTAGCGATTGCCTCCAACCTATATAATGGCTATGTCCCTTGTTCTTACCATACTCTTCCGAATGTACTCCTGTGACATGTTGTTCAACAAAGGCCATCCCCAGAACTCTCCAGCCTCCAAGGCCCTTCAGACCTTTTAAAGATTAATGTGAAAAATATAACGCGTCAAGTCCCTCCCTTTTCGTGAAGAGCTTTGTTGTTCGGCACTACTTTTGCACCTGCTTGGTTGACAAGGTCCCTTCTGGGTTACCCTCTCGGCTGAGTATGGCAGTGTCACAGCAGAGGGAGATGGAGTGTATAGCAATGGAACCAAGAACTACCTGCACTTCAAGGCCAGAAGTTTGGCCTCAGAGCAGCGAGTGCCGAGGGCAGCCCTCGGGAGCCCTTCTGAGCTTCGCGACCTTGTGATGTTTGCTTGAGCATTTGACTGTCAAAGATTGCTGGAGTCATTTGTGAGGTTGAGCAAAACATCAACCCAAGGCTAAGGCTACGGCAGACAATAAGGCACAAACGATGTTCTCGGACCAGCATGTCCTTGGATCCATCCCATCCAAATGTCCCTGATGAACGGATTTCAACAGGGTGCTTGGCGATTGCCATTTTCCACAATTACAGCGCACGCTCACCCTATTGTGCAGGTGGATACGGTGGAATGGCTCATGGCTTTGATGGAGAGCAAGGAGGAGAACGAGCTGCATTTCAGGGTTCAGAGCTCACCCCACACCTTGCCATCTCTCAGACGGGGAGAATTGACGAAGATCCCAAGCAAGTGCTTTTTTTCTACGGGTTCTATGGTTGTTTCAGTCCGTGCCTTTCGCAGACTCCAGCGTATCCAAAACGAAGGTCCAGCAATTCAGGGCGGTGTCAGTCGCATGCTCGTTTGACTTCTGCTCGTCACCCGCTCTGAAAAGCGCAATAGAACTCAATCCGCTTAGTTTGGAGCTCTTTTTCGATCTGCAAACCAGCCATATAAAGGCCCCACGGACCTCCAGGACTTCTTTTTTGCCGTTCATTGCGGGGCTTAAACCTGAAAGGCCTAAAGGTCCATGGAGCATTTTCCATATGTCTCTTGCTGTCGCCAAACCGTGTGACTTGTGAGGTGAAGTTGCTGCCAGCGCAGCATTTCTGGGGCACTGACTACCTCTACATCGGTCTGCAATCTTCACTCGATCCGCCCAACGCATCCAATGTCGGTGGGCGCGAGCTGACCCTCGGTCTGAACTACTCCATGCAGATTGAGGCACGGCGAGTCTTCAGTGAAATCTGTGTGTCCTGAAATATAGTGTTTTGTGGTGAAGCTTTGACAGACAAGGGGGTGGGCTTTGACAGACATGAAATCTGTGTCGCCCTGCAGGTGGTGCCAAAGAGGGATGAGCCGCAGATTTATATGGCACATGGCAGCACAGCGGTGGCGCAAGCCGACAAAGCGCACCAAGCCCAACTTGGATTTGCGTCAGCAACTTTTCAGTTTCTTCCCCTGGTTCAAGTCTCACAAGTTCATTAAGCTGACTTTCCTTCATTTGCGAAATCAAAGCCTTTAGGCCTCAGAGCCGTCGCCAAAGCAGCCTCGCTTTCCTGTTCTTGTCTGAGGTCAACGCCAGCATTGTCTATGTGGACCTAGCAGCCACGGGCCATGCTCGTGTGCATGTGAAATCTCCCTTTGGCGAACTAAGCTTCCCAGAGCTGGACGTGATGATGGACGAGGAAGCGCCAGGCTTGACCGAGTTCTTTGCGGATCAGGAGAGCACGCGAGGGAAAGCGAGGTGAATTGTTGCGAGGGGAAATGATCGAAGCCAATCAAGCAAATAAATCTAACCAATCAAGCAATGACCCGAAAGGAGAGCTTCAGGGGTTGCTGGCAAATCAGAACTTCAATTGGTGGTTTCTGCTGGGGCAGAAGATTCTCTCCCATGTTTCGCGCCAAATGGCCGATGTCCAATCCCTTCCTTACGTCCAGCACTTCTCGAAGACACTGGCAGGAGTTTGATCAGGAGGTTGAGGAGGAATATGCCACCAGGACACCGGAGACCGGATAAGAATTGAGAATTCAAGGCAGTGAGCTTCTATTAGGTTGGAGGCCATCGCTACTAGGTTGGGGGGCATCGCTATTGGGTTGGGGCCACTAGGTTGGGGGACATTCCTATTGTATAGGTTGGAGGTCATCGCTGTGAGGCTGATAGCACCAGATCTCACCTGCCAGAGTCTTCGGGGGGCTTTAAAGTTTTAGGTTCAGTGGGTTTCCTCCACCTTACTGACAGAGCAATTGTGGACGGTTCACATTGTCACTAGTGATATCGTTAGTGCTGTTTGACAGGAAGATGTCAAGTAGGTATGACTTCTTTGCAAAGTCGATGTTTTGAACTGGAATTCACCTGTCAAGAGGGAAGTCTACCTTTTTCAGAACGTGGGTGTGAGTGTCCAGGGCACGTTGGGACACGCATCCGATGTATGTGCCACCCACGCTACGCTTGCGTATCCAAGTGCTTGCTCGGTGCAGGATCCCAGCCAGGAATGGTGTTTGGCCAACTGTCAGCAGGTCTCTTGGCCTCCAACCTACTAGCGATGGCCTCCAACCTACTAGCGATGGCCTCCAATGAACCCAAGGCTTGTTTATAGGTCATTCTTTTCTTCCCATTTTTTTGTTTTTTGCTACACAAAACCAAGGTATGAAACATCTACTGGCGATGGTGCCTTCACATTTGCTTCAGCAAGCTTTTTTCCTTTGTTTTTAAAGCAAATCTGAGCCATGCTGGCACATCAATTTACTACAATCTCCTTGACAGAAACCATGGAAGCTATCGCTTGGACCGGGCCAGAGGACTCTTTGCACCAGTCAATCGCCGGCACCAGCACTTGGGACCCACCAATGGTTCAGCCCGAGACACTGCTCTCTAGCTTTCCAGTTCATTGATTTGAAAAAAGAATTCTGTCCACTGAATCCTCTGAATCCTGACCAACCGGGAATTCGAGGATCTCAAAGTTCTGTTCGCATGTGGAAGCTGTCACAAAAAGGAAACGCATCTGGCAGTCGCTTCCGAAAGCGCTGGGAGGCTTCACTTTATCTGGAGAGGTCTCGGCTCTGAACCGAGTCCTGGCCCAGCTTCGCTTCACGCCGCCCGCGGATTCGCCCAATTCAGGCAGGGCTGAGAAAGGGCCCTAAGAGCTGCAGAGGTTTCCAATGGTCTCCATTTTTGTCATGTTTGTGGAAGATCGGTACAACAGGACTCTGCAGCTCCGTCATTCACAACTTTTTGGTGGAGGAATGTTTATGTTTGTTTCCTTGTTTGTTTCCCAGAAAAAGACACACGGGTTGCACGATCAACCTGGGGCAGGCCTCCAACTGTCATTCTATTGGGCAGTCATTGTGGTTCGGTAGCAACGGGTCTGACAATCGTAGGGGTCGAATTTGAGCCTCAGGATTGTTTTAGAACCAGGTCATTTTGATATACTTCGAATCTCTCCAACAACTCCCTTCGACCCCTTCGGCATGCTTTTTTTCTCGAGGTGCTCTCACGGTGAGCCTGCAGCGGACGCCCTCCTCCGTGGACTGGGAGTCCGAAAGCTCTGCGGGCACCTTTCAGACGGAAGAGGTGTTGGCTCAGAAGGAGAGCGCGGCGCGCGGCGAAGTGGCGTGGGGCCAGTGACTTGCGGTTTTGGGTCTATAAGGTCCATGAGCCTGATAGGGCGCGGAAGACCGGAGGCACATCCAGATGTTTGGATAGAATCGGCCTTGAGCCGCAGCCCGCAACGTGCAAGATGCACCTGGAACTTGAGATTTAAAAGCCATAAAGTGATGTGTTGCAGAGAGCTGGTCAGGTTCTTGCAGCCAGGACTTCGCTGTAGCCATTGAGCCCTTGGCCAAGTCCAAGTTCACCTGTTTCATCGGCGGCCCTGCCGTGACCTTCGTGAACCCAGGTGAAGAGTCGCGAGACGGTGGAGTTACAGCCTCTCGGTGCGATGCCGTATTTGGAACGGGTGGAGTTTCTCTGGCGGTCGTGTTGAATCGAAAACTTCTTCAGCAACAGCACCGGCCTCAGAGCTGGCCTTTGTTTTGATGCCTCAGTTTTACTTTCCAAAGAGGTGGGAATTAGCTTGGAGTGAAGGAGAAGGAGCCTCTCAGCTATCTGGGGAACGACTCCTCCCATCCTCACATGTTCGTGAAACTCAATAGGGCCTATCGAGCAGCTGTCTTCTCGATTTGATTGTATAGACTTGATCAAGGCATTCCGAAGGTCGCATTCAGGCTTTGCACCTTGACCAAAGTGACTAAAGGCTCCATCCCTTCTGTATAGATAGACAAATGGTCGAGCAAATTTCTTGTAAAAACTTCTCACCCACTCATAAGCCTCTTCTCACCACTCGGCTGCAGGTCTACCCGGAGGCCTCTGCATCGGTGGAGGTCACTAAGGCGGTGGCTGAGGAGCTGCATGAGTTCCGGGTCTCCGTGAAGCATGGCACTTTAGGCGCCGAGACCTCGGGACGCGGGGACGGGATGTTTGGGGTGAAGTTGTTACCTAAGTTAGCTAGTATGGTTCCTAATAGCTTCTTGCTCCTAGTAGTAAGGCCAGGAGCCCCTAGTAGCGTCCTTGCTCCTAGTAGCGATGCCCTTTGCTCCTAGCAAAGGAAGAGAGAACAGATAAGGAAATCGTCCGCAGCAACCTCAACCAGCATGACTCCACCTGATTCCGTCTGAGTCCCGACGCCGAGCGTGAGGGCTGGATGTGAACAAGTTCCCCGCAGCGCGGATTTGTCCGCCCTTCTATCCCGATGTGGGTGGATGTGCGCAAGACGAAGTGGACGCATGGGTGATCTATGGGCGGATTGCCGATGCAGCCTTAGCACTGGAGTCCCTGGTATATACACCACCCATTGGAGACTTGGAAGATCTGAAAGATGGCCTTTCATGCTCCTAGTAGCGATGCCAGGAGCCCCTAGTAGCGTCCTTGCTCCTAGTAGCGATGCCAGGAGCCCCTAATAGCTTCTTATGTGTTGCCAGAAGAGTGCGACCTAGAATGCGATATTTTAGGCAAATAGGCTGTGACACCTAAAGGGGGAGGCCAGGGTCCCCTATATAAGGGGGACAGCCTCCTTTCGATCTTGTGGTGTCAAGTGTAGTGCAGCCGCCGACCGGGACTAGCAAGGGTTTGATCAAATGAAAGCAGTGATGCTTCCTCAACTGACCTAAGGATATGCTGGGCAAGATCTGATGCGAATTACTGGAAGCTGCTCTGAAGTGAGTCTAGTGCCTTGGATTCTTTTGTTCAAGGGCACCACCAATGTAGGCCTGTTTCAGGAAGCTTCACTCAACGATTCCTCCAGAGCTGGATTCATTGATTTTCTTGTTTGGTGGTTCATGAAGGGTCATTCTTGACACACCATTCGGAAAATGGTAAAAAAAGAGACCGTCCACAGGAATTGAACAGGTCTGCAGAGTTGGTGGGATCTACAGGCAACTGAACGTTTTTGTCCATCTGAGGAGGTGAAGATGAATATCATCAAAGGCTTCCTGCCACCAGTGGTCCGCTGTTGTGAGCACGAGGTAATGGAGGCGCCTGCTTGTGTGAGTGTATCTCAAGGATCAACTATTGTTCTATGCACTTCTCGTTTTGTTCACTCAATGCCTTCACTTTTTGGTGGAGTTCCCTTTCCATGGCCTTTGAAGACTCCAACAAAAGGGTCAGGAGTGGACAAGTTGGTTCAAGGGATCAATTGTGAGCATCAAGAAATTACATGGATCAAGATTCCTCACTTGCTTCACTTGCCTCCGCAAGCTGTGGAGTTGATGCGAGTCTCAACACAACCCTTGAGAAGGTGCATCGGGCTCTGGAGCCAGCACCTGTGCCGCCCGCGATCTTGGAGAGCAATGCCTATGGGGAGTCTTGAAGAACAATGCCAGTCTTGTGTGCCCAAAGTGCTAGACTTCAAGTTGGCTTCAGAAGCCAGGTATGTCCAAAAAGGGGGGACATAGCTGACCCTGGAGCTGATGAGCTGACGATGAACTTTGGGCCGCTCTGGCCTTTTGGAAGATAGACCATTTGGACTTCGCTCCACAGATGCTGTGAAAATTGCCCATTGTGCACGTCAGATTGGGAACCCCCAAGTCCACTGAAGTCCAGTAAAGTGGGAACAAGGCCCCATCTTGGTGTACCCAGTAGATCTGCTACCGCTCTGCTTCTCTTAAGACTCAAACTGCCTCGCAAGTGTTTATTTTTTGTGAGATCCTTGGGATCTCAGGTACCGTTGGCCCAAAAATGGCATGGACCTGCTCTACGTGGTCTTTGTTTTGTGCACATAAAACCTCCAAAGTGGCGATTTGTTGATCTTCACCTCCAGAGATTTTGTAGATCCTGTCTCACCCGGGCAAGCAATTGTTGGCCATCTAAGGAGATCCCTGCAGTGGCGCAGGTGAGATTCACCACTGATCTTGGGCAACTGGCCTTTTGGCCGGTGCAAGGTGGGGAATGTCCAAGTTCATGACCATTGCGATCTTGCAAATCTCCTTTGGGAAATTTCAAAACGCAACAACAATTTATCTTGGGGAATTCCAAGTTCCCTTTGTGATAGCTGCACATTGTATTCCTCGCCATTGCCATCAACATAATTTATCATCACACTCCATTCTTTCCTTCCCCAAGAAGCTTCCAGGCCTCTACTTTGACCATGGCTTTGACGTGGCCCCCATCCACAACGTCTCCTCGCAGATTGTGGCGGATGGCCCTGGTGCCATCGTCCAGCACGGCTTAGGCTCTAAGTTGGCCTTGCTCCACATCCCAGAGACGGAGCCACGTGTGGAGGGAACGCTGGTGGTAGAGGCCAGGGCCTCTACGCTGGCCAGAAATCCAAACTGCTGACGAAACGAGTGGTTGGAACCCAACATCTACCGGGCACTCATGGGAGAGTTGGTTAGACTTGTCCTTCCTAGATCGCCTGTCAAGTGCCTGGCCTAGTTTTGAGGTTTGCATCAAGAGGTGTTCATTTAGTTCCGCTCACCTCAGCAGTGGTTGCGATTCCTCAAACATTCTTGAGCTTTTTGTTTGTGGGAGCCTGGCAGGTTCTTGATGCCCGATCTGGACTTTCCTCTTCCTGCACCTGTCCCATCAAAGTGTCGGCTTATCGGAGAGAAGGCCTTCCGCTCATTTCCATCGACATGCCCACACCCAACACGACTTTCCTGTTGTGTCTTGCACTGCAGAAGACTTTTGCCAGAGTGTTTTGGAGTGTCTCGGGACAACCCAGCTTTGCTGCCTAAGTCCACTCTCCCAAGCTGCAGCATGCTGTTCTCATGCAGCTCATGAGTTCTTTCAATCTTCTCCACAGCGTTGGGTGTGATTATGTCAGGTATTATCAGATGATTCAGTGATGATTCATGTGAGTTTAGTTTTGAGTATGCCTAGGCCGAAAATGGACCTCCCCACAAAGTCCCAAAGCCACACACAATCATGGTTTCCACCCTTGGTTTTGCGTCAGTATTTTTAAAGAAGTGTTGTAGACCTACAAAGCCACCCTGAATTGCCCATAGACATCTACAAAGCATCCCATGAATCTCACACCACCATGAATGGCATGTTAACCCGCAAAAATCAAACACCACTACATACATATATACATATACATATATACTAGTCACTATACCTAGTTGTGAGGACCTTCCTTGTCGTCCCTTTTTGGCCATCGCATCCAGAGGTCTGGTCTGGGTGTGCGGAGCTGGGAGCTCACAGTGCCATCCTTTGGGCTCATCTCGGCAGCTTTCAGGAGATCCGCTGCCCCGGTCAAAGCGTTGTTTCACGGATTCCGTGGCAAGCCAGCAAGATTACTGATGGAACTTCGGTATTCTCAAGAAGTTGCAGCCAAGGATCTAGCTAGAAACATCATGAAACATCTACACTGCTCCAATCAGTAGCACAGCCGCTCATACTTTGCCCTTAGAGTTCAGCTCCTTCCTTGGCCTCGTGGCCTCAACTCTGAGCACACGTGTTTGCGAAGTCAAAGGACTCCTTGCTACGTGAAGCTCTCTGTGCCTCGTGGGCGGCTCGTGCCACCTGTCCCTCCACCGTGGCGACAGGCCGCCGAGTGGCGTGAGGACAAGCAGGGCAGCTATAGCCTGCTGGCCGAAAGTGTGGAAGCTCCTAGGCGGATTGAATTGAGGTGTTTGGTTCCCTTTAATAAGGCACCCTTTAAGGCCCAAACACAATTTGTTTGTCTTCACTTCTTAGCTAAATGCAAGACGTTGAATTGTTTAGTCTTAACATGCTTTCTTCTTTCTTCTTTCTCTCTACGTTTCATCCGATTTCATCCCGATGAACATTCAGTACATTCCATTATTGAATGGAGTTGCTGGGCATCGTCCAAGGATGCTTCAGATGTCGTGGGGAAGTTGCGCTTCTTGATCCAGGAGGAGGGGTTTCACAGATCAATCCGGATCCCATTCTTTTCTTCGAAACAAAAAACGGTGCACCAAAAACGGTGCTCATATGATACGCCTGTTGCTTTGAGCATGGGGAGATTTCGCAGCAGCAGGGCGCTTGTACGAGGAGGAGCTCGATTCCCGAGAGCCGCTCATCCTGGCAATGTCCATTGAGGTGTTTGCGTTGCCCAGCGGTCAGCAGAAGGACCTGGATCAGGTGGGCATTCTGTGTTGGTCACAAGGGCCTTTTGCATTGAAGAAGTCAAAAAACCAAGGAGAGGTCTTCATGCATTTGTTCGTTCGAGATTGGGTCCACAACAATTATACAATAGGTGGACAGGAGCAGAGCACTGCAGCCGAAAATACCACGACACCCAAAAGTCATTCCCGAAAGAGCTTACCTGCCTGAACCACGGTTTTGTGAAAGGCAGTTCCAGCAATGTCAAAGTTCAACTACTGTGCTTGGCATATACATACACATACATACACACACACACACTGTACAAGAATGTTTCTTACACTAAAAGCAGGAGGTCTATATCCATCAAACCGTTTGAGACACCGTTTGAGAGCAGGTGTTTGTCCTGTGCCTTCCAGGCGATACTGAGAGACCAACGAGACATGCAGCTGGAGATCAGGACTGAACCCTCCATTCCGCAACTTTGGATGATGACCAAGCGAATGGAGACTTGCCACGAACAAAATCACTGCACGTGAAACAGGGACTTTTTATTTTGACCAAAGTTGATACGGGAGAACCTCTCTTCTCCTGTCTCCTCTTGATGTTACAGTAGTTAGTCTGGGGACGTATCTGACAAACAAAGCCTTTTGAGCAAATCCAAGGAGATCCAGCATGCTGAGCGGATCAGCTTGGAGCGGTTGAATCTGCAGCTACTGCAGCAAGGTCTGCATTTGTGGGCCACACGTGTTGGTTTGTTGATTTTAGCCTCGACCAAGGTTGACTCGGTCGCTGCCTTTCAGGCGATTAGGATGACAGTACACATGCCGCGTGCGTGCGATGTGCCTCACGTGCCGGTTGGAAGGGCCTGAGAGAGAGAGAGAGATCTCACATTGAGGTTGTTCGTTTCTCATTGAGTCCTTAGTTGATCTTCACATCTCTGAGACCGTTGGTTCTGAGGTATCCGAGACCGTTGGTTCTACAGCTCTCCTGTGAGGCCTGTACCTTCTTTGATGAGGACCTTTGGCGAAAGCTGACGACATTTCTTCCACTGAACCAAGCGAGCATGTACCTCTAGCAGGTAGGGCCAGGATGCCAGGATCCTTCAATTTCAGTGTCGAATCAAAAGAAGGAGCCTCTAATAGCGCCCTTGCTCCTAGTAATTAGCGATGCCAGGAGCCCCTAGTAGCTTCTTGCTCCTAGTAGTAAGGCCAGGAGCCCCTAGTAGCGTCCTAGCAACCCGTTTGGAAGAAACATCAGGAATTTTCCTCGAACAGCACCTACCAAATCACGGGCATGGCGTCAGTGCTCCAAAACCATGTGGCGCAGTTGCAGATGCAGGTGCGGCACCGGAGGAGAAGGGTTAGCTCGGAAGGTCCGAAGCCAAACACCGCAACGCCCCAGACATTTTTGGTCTCCCAAGAAGTGGGGTCCACACTGGCTAACAAATCTCCCAAAGACATCTCAAGACCATTGGCTTAACACCAACCATCCGAATTATATCCGAACAACACCCCCATGTTTTTTAGGTCATCATCCGAACAACATCTTCACGCGCTCGTGTTTCAGGTGACCTGTGCCGTGTGTGACTTCGAAGAACTTCTCGTGAAGGCTTGGGACCCTGAGACCCTTCAGCTGCCGAGCAGCCAGACCGATCAGGCGACAGGGGTGTTTGGGCCGTTTCTCGTAAACACTAACAGATATGTCTTGTGGATCAAAAAGTACTCCTAATACAGACTTGCTACATCTTGCTACTAAATGGAATAAATTGAATCCTACTTAGGTTTAAAGAGTTGTACGTTGTACACGCCCCGATCTGGTATGAAGCCCGAAGTTCCTCCGCTGGCAGGGCAACTTGATCGTCCAAGTCACCTGCCCTGTGATGATCGAGACCAGTCCTATTGCCAAAGGGCCTCCCTTGTTGCGGGTGCAGAGCTCGGGCGTTGTTGTACAGGCCGGCGAATCAGCAGCTGGACCAAATGATGGGGAATGGACCAAAAGACTGGGTACTCCGTGAACCGCTCCAGTTCTCAGTAAAGCCAACCAAGTGAGCAGAGTAGGAGGCTCGTAGCTGTACCCGCATTATCAGATTTGAAGCCCAAATGGCAATGCACATCTCCACGGGATTTAGAACAGAAGGATGCCCCTGATTGGCACCTGGGTCATAATAACTTATACTTGATTGGTAGTAGCTCATGGCATTCCACGATCTAAGGTAGATCTGAAGCAGCTCGGTCTCCAAAGTGCAGACCCAAATGAACCCTTGGGCTTGCATGCTGTGGTGGATCATGTGGAAGTTCGACTGTCCAGCAGACAAGGCAAGGCCCAAAAATGCTCTTGGAATGAGTGCGAGAGATCACGGGAAAACTAGGCCATTTCAGTTGGGAGAGCGTAGGGTTTGGATGGGTTTGGTGTGGAAAGACCTTCTTACCTTAGAAGCTGCACAGCCGTTTGGCCGGGGGGTGTTGCTGGAAACATCTGAGCCTGTTGGGCGATGAGCAAGATTCAGATCATTTGTGAGAAGCTGAGCTCCTTCACTAGCTTTGATGATCTATGGTAATCGGCCCTAGTATTAGTAGCGTCCTCGTTCCTAGTAGCGATGCCAGGAGCCGCGTTCGTAGCGTCCGATCGCTCCGTTGACCTCTAGGCACCCTGGAGATTGATGTGGCTGCTCTGGTTGGTGCTACGGAACCATACCTTGCAGATGCAGCCGACGGAGCATTTACGGCGAACACTTGGAGCCAGGATCAGGTCCAAGTAGCTGTCACAGGAGCAGAGATGTCTGGCGAGCCCTTCAATGTGCCTTGGCATGGTGTTGAGGTGTGGAGCACCTACCCTCAAAGGAGGCTAGTAGGGGCTCCTGGCCTTACTACTACGAACAAGAAGCTACTAGGAAGGACGCTACTAGGGCCGATTACCATACATGGTGTTGAGGTGTGGAGCACTACCCTCAAACTTCGGATTTTGTGCTGGGGTTTTTGGCTCAGAACGTTTTCCAATCACCGCGTCAGCTGATACCTCGACTTTCGCGCCCAGATACCATCGACCAACCGCCGCGTGCCATACGTGGAGCCTTCGCGGCCAGCGAACCCAGAAAATCGCACCTTGTTGGATGCCAGGGGTGCCCTTCGGCCCCCACGAGTCTTGTGGACGGGGAAGAGCTTGCGGCTGAGAGGTGGGGCGAGCGCTGGCTTGCGCGCTTGCGCGTTTGGGGGGAGCAGATGGCGTTCGATTGAGCTTAAAATAAAGACCAGCTGAATCCAGGATTTGCACGCCTGGCTGAGACCTTTCTTTGAAGATGAAACGTGCTAGTGAGTGGTGGACAAGGTAGTTTCGTTGGTGGTGCTGGAGCAAGGGTCAAGACTACGACATCTCAATGGCTTTTGTCACTTCGTCATGGTTTGCGATGATTTCCCGAACAAGCCTGATTTCTTTCGCATGACTTCTCTGGCCTCTGAAAAGAGGCCCAGCTGTCCAGATGCAGATGACCTTGAGCAGTGTGAAGTACACGGCGGACGAGAGCGGCGGAGGATGGGACACAGTGACGATGTCCATGGGAGTCTTGGGAGTGACGGGACCGGGGCCCCATAAGTGGGCCTTGAGACTGTGAGTGGTATGTTTTGGATGAGACTTAAAAAGAGAATATCATAGGACATGAGAGGATAGC